AAAACACATAATGAGTGATGTCTTGGCCGCCAAGCAAGATGCAAATCCCTGTGTGCAGTGGCAAGGGGTAGAAGTACGACGTCATCAGGATGATCTTTATGCCCTGACGCCTCTTGTGCCGTATGATATTACGCAAATTATTCCTTGGGACTTGGAAGCCCCTCTGTCAATAGTGCCTCTAAATAGGGTATTGAAAACTGATCTGATAGAGGCTATAAAGCATGGTTGCTTGATAGATAAAGGCGAGATAAAAGAGTGCGTTGTTACGGTGCGTTTTCGTCAAGGTGGAGAGAAAATGTATGATGAAAAAAGAAAGCGAACTATTAGTGTTAAAAAATTAATGCAAGAAAATCGCATTCCACCATGGGAAAGGGATCGTATCCCACTGATTTATGTGAATGACAAACTGGTGGCAATGGCCGCAGAAATATAATTAGGACTGAAGGTTTAATACTATACGAAACTATAAGGCAAGTTAGCATTCGGATAGTATTGAACCTTTGATCCTTAGTTGGAGGAAGAAGTAAATTGAAGTTATTAGAACAAATATTTGAGCAATTCCTGTGGAATAGCCGTCTGATGGTACTAGCCGCAGTGATTGTTAGCTTGGTATCAGCGGCAGCGGTATTGTATATGTCGAGTGTAGATGCGTGGATTATGGTAAGTCATCTCGGTGAGTACGTTTCTGCAGAAATATCAACCGAAGCTCGAGTGCAGTTGAGAGCGATACTATAAAGCATGTTGTAGAAATTATTGATGGTTATTTGTTAGCAACGGTTTTACTGATTTTTGCGCTTGGCTTATATGAGTTGTTTATTAGTAAAATAGATGTGGCTGAAAATGGTGAAGGTGCATCAAAAATACTAATTATCAATAGCTTGGATGATCTTAAGAATCGGTTGGCTAAAGTTATTTTAATGATTCTTATTGTGCGTTATTTCGAGCACGCGCTGAACATGAAGTTTAATACCCCATTGGATTTGTTGTATTTCGCGGGTGGTATTGCTTTGCTTGGTCTAGCGCTTTATTTGACGCATAGTCATAGCGGCGACAAGAACGATCACTAGTTTTTTCACCGTTGGAAGCTGTTTGGATGCTTGTGGGAACTGGTTGCTTGATGGCGTTTGCAGTTAGTTCACACGTTTCTAAACAGCTTCTTCAAAGGCCTTAAAAACCTCATTCTAAAAATAACGAAAATAGACGTATACCGCACTGATCAATACCGACACCATCATCATCGGAAAAGCTATCAGCATAAAAGGTAGAAAGCGAATGGGTTGACCTGACCGTTCGGCAAACCCTGCTACGATC